AAACGCGACGATCGTGACCCTCCGGGACAACAGGAATCGGTCCGCGTCGCTCGTTCCGGCCCGTAACAATTCGTTACGACGCGACGCGGGGAACACGTAAACTCTTGGCAGCGTAGCGATGGCGTAACGCATGCAAATTCCTGAACAAATGCGTAATTAGCGTGTCCCCGCTGGCCGGACGGAGACGCGCGCCAACCGGGGGTGTATACGGCGAGCGCGGAGAGTTGTTAAATCAACGAGAGACGGTTTTCGATCGACCGATCCGCCGGACCTCGTCTCTGCGCTATTGTTACGAACGTGCCGTTCATGCTAATGTTTCCCCCACCCGCGCCTTGTCAATCGAATGTTTTACAGGCTCATGCATGTTCATATACATACGTCTCTATGCGCATATTTATTATATTTCGCGGCGCCGAGATTTCGATGTTCCGCTATTAATAATCCGCAAGTCTATTCTCGTTCGACGAGAAAGTATATACATCGTGTCGGTGTACTGTTCAAAGAGAGAGAGAGAAAGAGAGGAAAGTTGCGACGAGGTGTTGAACATTTCGAGACCACGGAGGTTTCGAACGGCGAATTATACGGGGCGAATCCATTAATAACCGGAATCAAGTGAAATTCCGACTGGCCGGTGTTCCGGTGCTGAATCACTCGCATGATAAACGAGGAGAAGCTTTTTGGGGAAGTAGCGGCCGTTTTAAGCGGCTGGAGAATACGTCACGCGGTGTGACATTAAAATATACGTTACACCAGGCCGCGAACGGTTATTTATACCACCCGGAATGGACCGCGCTTTTCGAATCTCTGGCCACCACCACCGCCACCCCCTCTGTATTCCGGGATGGCGAACATAATATCCGCGCACTCAGCCAGAGAGATCACATTACGCGATATCGATTGTACATGGTGAACAGAGGGAGAGAGAGAGGTTTCCTTTCCACTGTGGCCCTCGCGAGCCCTCAAACTCGCCCCTTTTGCCCCGCGCGTTGTTCGACTGGGCTTCATTAACCAAGGCACGCTAATTAATCGAGAGACGGTGCCGCAGAATCAAGATGGCACGAAACCTTTGTGTCTGGCCTGTGTGAGCGGCCCCGAAACTGCCGATGGAAACGAACCTACCTACTGCCGCCTTTGCGTCGCCCAACGATCTGATATTTCCTCCTCTACCTGTGCCACGATGCCTCTCCTCTCGCTTTGATTTCAAGCCTGATCGTCGACCGTGCTCCCTCGTTACCCCGATAGCTTCGTATCGAGGGGAGAGCCAGGAACGTCTAATGGTTACGTACCGCAGAACCTTTCTCGTTTCAACCATTTCCACCCCTTTTCCTCCCTCTATCCCTATCTCTGGTCCACGTGCTTCTCGATCTTCGATCAGCGAGAAAATTCACGGTTGATTCACGAGGGAAAAAACCTCGGTCGATCGATGGAAACGACGGCACATCCGCGCGTTACTATGCAAATTAACCGTACCGGGCAATAACGCGCGCCCTCCGCAGTCGGTTTTACTGCGCGGCGACTGAGGACAACATCATAAACTGGCAGTCGTAAAGCGGCGGGCGTATGCCGTCGACTTCCAAGAATCCTCGGGTAATTTTCGCGAGGGAAATGAAAGCGTCCGCTTAATTGCGCCGGCAACCTTTCCAATATCCATCCGACTGCCGTCTCTACGTTCGCCCGCTAATTAAAAACTGCAGCAATTATCCCTTCGATTACATTATCGTCACGCTTGTTGTAAGCGTTCGACGGATTCGAGCACTCTTCGTGCAAAGTTGTATACACGCCGTTCAGAGCTACGGGAGAAATATTATCGTTCCGAGGTACGAGTACCACGAACAACTCGTAAAACTCGTTTATCCTTCAGAAGAAACACATGTAGAGCGCTCTTAGGGCTGCCATAAACGATCCCAGGGCAAGTAAACGCGGCGAGGTTTCTTACTTTCTGTCACAATCTCATCATCGAGCCGCATTCCTAAGCTTCTCGCAGATAAGAACGTTCCCTTGGTCGCCGAAACCTCTCGCTTTTACGGGGAATTTCGAGGGTTACGCGGTCAGGAAACGGATAATTCCACGGTAGACCAGTTTCGAGGGACGAGTGAAGAGATCCATGAACAGTACCGCGATCGTATCGTTGTTGCACAGCCCTGAGGTGTGATCCTCGTGTCGATAGTTATAACTTTTGAATAAAGCTTCGAACGACCTCTGTCCGTCTAACATTTTTCTCTTGCCTATGCCCGTAGAACACACTGACAAAGTTTGATAGAAACCAACTTGAACACCCGGTATATCGCCAACTAACAATTCGATATTTTCCGACTAATTCACCGTTCGTTACGTTCTACCTTCTAATAATTGTCAAGCCTAAAACTACGAGAGAACCGTGATTCGCCAGAGTGTAATTCAGAGACAGAACCCTACCCACTCTCGAGTAGTTTCCCTGTTTAAGTAGCTTACGCGAGGCATTAGCGAGTTTTACCGCCGCGTCTACCGAGATTCCCGAAACTACGGTCGAACGTAGAGTAACCAGCATTACCGTTCTCTCCAGACACACACCACCCTCAGTCGCTAACAAACGCGTGAGTAACTGGTACATCGGCGAAATTAATCGACGTTATCGGGTATCGATGGGTTCTCGTGAGTCATTTTCCCAAAGAACGAGATGAAATGATCCGGCCACCCCAGGCCTCCAGACTCGTTTCCACCGCGATACAATTCCGCCCGGTCGTTATTGCGTTCGCGAGAGCACACGCGTTCGAATATCCTCCAGGATTCCATTAATTGGATCCGGTGTCGGGTTACGTGTTTCTATTGCTGAATCAGAGGCGGTCTTAAGTAGCGCGTGCGTAACGCTCCGCTGAAACGTACGGTTTCCTCTCTGTCAAGAATATCGTAGCGATATCGGTTAACGTTGCTCTCCAGCCTTTGTTCCTGCTCCTGGGTCCTCCTTTTTCTGCTCTTTGTTATGCTTAGAATTTCTCGTAATTATTTGCCGCGTTTTTTAATTGGGTACACTCGACTCGATACACAAGCTTCTTCTACCTCCTCCTCCAGTTGGTAGTTCTCTGCTAGAGGGCTGAACCTCGATTGTTTCCTACCAGGTTTTCTTCTTTCGTCCAAGGTGTACACATGGGGGTTTATCGAGCGTTCCAGAGAGAGAGAGATGTATCGGTGTGGTGGATATGGGAAGCACGAGGGTTGAGCAGTATCTTTTTGCCCTTTGCGCGATCCACAAATTCTCCGTTTTCTGGGGACAGAGAGAGAGAGAGAGAGAGGGTGGACGATCCTTCGTGCTGTCTGGCGGTATGCCGCAGTCTCGCGGTTTTATCGAACCGAACGTCGCCTCCCTGCGGGGCTCCGCGTTGCTTTCCGATAAAAGGGACACAGGGAAGAAAAGCTTCGCCACCTTGCGTCTCCTGGTCCTACGAACTTCCTCCCTGCTCGGTTGTGTACCTTAAAACGGGCTTGTACCGCGTACAACGACTGGAAATAGGGGAGCAGGACTGGAAATCTCGGGAGGAAATCACGCTTCCATCTAGACGATATATCATCTTACTTGGCTTTATTTCCCGAATTCCTCTCCGAGCAGAAAAACGCGCGGCCGAGGGGTCTGGCGGAGATAGAGAAAGGAATCCTCCAGGAATCCGGCTGCTAAGCTCTCGGCTGAATCCATTAGCTCGCGCCATTAATATCCTCGTAATGATGAGCGATGAGCCTCGCAGCGTGGAGGAGGAGAGAGAATCGCGCGGGGACGACGGCGACGAGTCTAAGTGCGTCGACTGTGAAGGGTGGGTCGAAGCTCGACAAAGAGCGACTTATATGCTCGTGTGCACGGGGAAGCTGGCGTACTATCGAGGCACGGTAGCCAGAGGAATCTTTGATAAATGCTGCTTCCTTTGGACCGTCGCCAAACAACACGTAGCACAATATCCCGTACCGCGTGTACCGGTGTTCGCGTAGGAGGAGACGACTTATCGACGGTGTTTCCTCGGACAGAGACGACACGCTCGAGAACAAGTGGCCCGGAGGATGGAAATTCGAGCGGTTGTTCGATTCGACGTCTGAACGACGAAGAAACGAAAATCCAGAGAAAAATCACTTTCGCCTTTCGCAGGCGCGCCACGTAACAGAGCCGACGCCCTCTCCCTCCGCTCCTTTTCACGCACACCAGGCACGTGTCGCGCGCGGTGGTGCGTGTGAATTTTCAGGTAGATCGAAGAGAACCGCCGAAGAGGCTGGCGGATTAAGTAGGTTTCGCGAAGGTTAACGAGCTCCTTCCGGTATTCTGATGGAAATAGGAACATGTACGGGCAACGGTGTTTCGTCACGCGCTATGAAGTCGTTTCGTAACCAGTTACGCTCGTATTGCCGAGCGCAGACTGTTTAACGACGTCCTGGCTGACGATCGATCGCGAAAGATAATCGTTCCAGGTGCTTTTATGGTGATACGGGGAGGGAATGTCTGAAGATACGGAGGAAGAATGCAATTTAGACGAATGTCTGAGAGAGGAAAAAAATTGTTCTCCTAACTATTCTAAGAACGAACGCAGCTTTCGAAGAGAGGAACAAAAGGGTCTCCTGTATTCGTAATATCGCTGGGAAAATTATCAACGAAGATGAAACTTTATCACCCGAAATTCCTGGAAATTGTGTATACTACCGTAGTTGAACAGTAGTAACAGTTGGTGAGAGCACATCAGATTAATCTGTACGATGCGGTATTTACAGTGCTTTCACAGTCGCTGCACGATGTTTCGCACGTGCTCTGTCTCTATGCGGTTTACACGTACCTAGTGAGCCCTTCCATTCGTATTCGCCGTGGCATTATCCGCCCTGATGAATGAAAAGTATAGACACACATACGGAGGAAAAATTATTTAAATACACACCGTTGCGAGAAAACTGCTAATAAATTCACCACGAAGTAAAAATTCTCGAAATATTCGAAAAAAATTAAAACCATGTAAAAAGCATAGAATAATGCAAATTTCTGTTTCTACTTTCAGATGATCGATGCGTCGTACCACACGAATCCATCGCTCCAGAGCACCGCCCTGATCATAACGTGCGCAGTGGTGGTCCTCCTGATGGCAGCAGTCGTCTCCGTCGTCTTCTGGAAGTGAGTAAAAATTCGGAAATTCCCTCTCGTCTGCGAGATAACAAAAACCCAGTAAAATCAGCGAACGCGTACGATGAGACAGGTTGGAACAAGAGTAGACAGACGTTGTCGTATGAAACTGTTCAGGGTCGTGGCAGAACTGGTGACCCCACGGTAATAAAGACTAGGTTTCATTCCGGCCGGACATCGTAAGGTGTTGGAGGGTTCGAGGTCGTTCGGGTTGTAACCATATTTCAAGGGTTCGAGTGGCCGTCCACAAAGAAGGTCTCTCGCGACGTGTGGAGGGAGGTAGGAAGAAGAAGAGCAAGGGAAGAGAATGGTAGGGTAGATGATAACGAGAAGGACGAATCATTGGCATTTCTAGTGGCCACTAAATTAACCAAAAATAGGCCATTTCGCTGGAGCCTTCCAGCGTGCCACTGACACCGTTACACTTCCTTCGTCGAGCAGTTTTTCATTTCGCCGTTTCCCTTCGGAAAATACTCCTCGATTAGGTGTGGTGCAACCGGTTAGAAAGAATGACAGGAAACAGAGGTGATTGTCATTCCGGTGAGCGGTAAATTAGCCAAGAATAGACTCCCACCGTCCCTCTCGTTACGCTTTAAGTGTCGATTCGCTGTAAATCGTTACCGAAGAGATCGGAATTTTCCAAACACAGCGGACCAAAGCTGTGACACAAAGGGGGTCTTTCCCTTGGAACGAGGCGGACAGGAAGGTCTGAATAAGAAGAAGAGGGTCGTTCGGTGGTTCCTAAATTAGCCAGAAATAGGACATCGAAATAAGTGGGCGTGCGTCGTGGCTGTGTTACGCGCTCTGGCTACGACGGGACAGCGGAGGTTACACTGATAATCTCCGACACGCTCGCTGCGCGTCGTTCTCCTCTTTTGTGCCTGCGTAAGCAAGTTAGCCCCGCGGATCCGCGCGAGATCGAGCAGCCACTCGCAACGGGGGGAAGAAATATGCATCCACCGCAGAAACGCGAAGATTTACGCGGCCCCCATTCGGACATTGTCTCTCGCTGCTTTATACGCCAAGTCGCCCGGCTGAAGTAATAAAAAGTGAAATACGATGGGAGAAAAATGCTCGCAGGGATTGGCTCGTTCTGCCGCGGATAAGAAAACAGTTTTCCCCCCGATGCATGTACAATTTTATTTAGATCTAACGACCGACGATCTACGTGTTTCCATTCTTTCGATTCGGCCCTTTCTTCGGTAATTCATACAGTTTCCTCTTCCTCTCTTTGTATTACGAGAGTTTACTCGGTGGTTACCGATGAAATATCGCCGTATATTCAGGTATCGATTGATCGAGGGAAGAAGCGAAAAAACGTTGGAATATATAGAGAGTCGTCTGGCACAAGAAGCAACTAATTTCTAGTAGCACAGGAGGGAAAAAGACAGGAAGAGAGCAACGATACCACGATCGATGAACTCGGTGAAATCGGCACCGGGCCAAGACGATTTTGGATCACACAGAGGCCCGCATTCAACATCCACCGGCGTGTCGTATTTTTATCGAGGCCTCTCCAAGACCGAGTCCACTCGTCGCGACAATGCTCGCCCTGTTTCGTCCTCTTTCCTCGCGGTTTATCGTCGCACACGGTCATTATCGTTCGCCCTTCTCGGTATCTCGAGCGTGTTACCGATTCGCACACTTCGTCATACGTCTCCTCTCCGTTTCTCTCCATCTGCGAAATTTTTCCGGGAGAGCTTCGCGAAGCCAGTTTCTTGCGAGGAATCGTCATTTGTAAGGAGAAGGAATAATATCGCGAAATGAAACGATATGTACGAGACTTTTTATACAGCGTGTTTTCTCGCCGGATCAACCGGAGGTCTTCGCGCGGACAATTTGTTTCCACGCGGCTCGAGAGCGTCGGTTTGCACAACCGAGTCACTGTTGTAGCACGTTTTTTTTTTTTTCAGTTTATCGTAATAGCCGGCCATTATCGTGGCCCACAAGCATGGTATCTCAAGTGTTACCGCTCTCCGTCTCTCGGCTTCGAGTCCCACGACTTTGTGGGTGGTATCTCTCTCTCTTTTCTCTGCTTTTCCACTCGTCTTCCGTGCGAGGGTTTGACAGCGAACACGGTGTCCTGTCCTCTTCGACCATCTTGACACGCCTGTGTTTTCATACTAACGAGTCGCTCGAACATCTCGATTCGTGGAAAAATTAATCAAAGCTTAATAGCGCAGTTTATCAACCGTGTAAGTTTAATCGGTAATGTAATATATTACCGATATGAACTTTTAAATAATGAAAATTTATCAGAGCTTTGTTAACGCTGTACTGATCCAATAAAAATCGCGCCGAAAATCTGGCAATTCTCTCTCTGTCACTCGTGCTTCTCGCTCGCACACTAGAATGGTAATTTATCTAAACGACTGACTCCCCTATCATCGGTCTGAGAGTAAAATTCAAAGCCACTTTTCCACTTAGCAGTGGGTCACAGTTTCCCGCGAGTTCAGCCTTTTAATCCTGATCTCGGACGTCCTGTACCCGAGTATGGGAGCGTATACACTTATAGAAGGTGGAAAGGGGACTTGTTCGTGTCCCGAGCAAACGCGGAGAACCAACACGGCCACGCATAGTTTGTATGCTAATCAGAGCCGTGTTCTCCCATCTCCGCGTTCCGCCATCCTCGTCCCGTAGACGCGATACACTCGCGATGCTATTTCCTGCTTGGCTCGATGCGCTGTCGTAGTCACTGCCGATTCGCGATTTAAACGAGTCGCTTGGAGAACGGGTCGACAAATTGCGCGGCAATTGTTCCAATTATTTCTCGTTGCTCAACTCTTCGGTAAGACGTGTCCGGAGGAAAATTCGTGGATATTGCGATCGAACTTCTTTCGACTAATCCTTTAATGGTTTCTATCTAGATTTATGAGAGTACAGTGATATACACTTTCGTGACAAGAAACGTGAGCACAGCATTATAGATCATGGAAATCTTATTTTTATACACCTAGGAAATAATTAAAAAACAAGAAATTGGTCATCTTTGGCACGTGAAGTTGTGAAAAATGTGAACCTTAAGGGGTTATGTCTGGAGGAGGATTGGGATCTGAAAAATTGTTCTGCACAAGTCTGCGCTATGCCTGTTTGACTCTGGAAACCAGCCCGACTCTCAAGATTACCGTACTAATAATAGAAGAAACAACGCTGCCCTCGGGTAATTTCCATTCTCGCACGATGTCAATAACCGATCCCGCCCCTAACCCTTGCCGATGTATCGGTCTCGTCTCGCTGGCTCGAGGGACGATCGCTGGAGGATATCGATACCCGCGGCCACGGAACAGTCCCTCTTTCACCCGTTTATTTTCCTTATCCCGTGGCCGGGAAGAGAAACGGCGGGTCGAGCTTTAAAATCTGAAAGAAATGCCTCCGTCGAACCGGGAGTTCGGTGGCGGAACAGGGCGAGAGGGAGGATATAAGGGCGGTCTGGAGATCCCACAGCCTTTATTTAACCGGCACCCCTCTCTCTTTCTCTCTCTCTCTCGCTCGATGCCACGGGCTTCTCCGAGGCAATGCCTCTTCGCCTAATCTAACCTATATTTTTCGGCGTTTCGCCCGTTAAGGCAGACTATCGGCCTTTGCGCACCTTTTCTGCGGTAACTATCCCTCGCGGGATGGGAAACTACGTCTAGACAGAGGCAGACCGGAAACGCCTGTATTCCGCGTTGTAGACGCGTTGAATGACCGACGAAACCGCGCTCGAGCCGACTGTCTGCACGGAAAACACGATATCGCCCGCATTAAGAGCTGATCCGACACTTTGCGCCGGCCAAATTCAATTCCCCGATAAATGTCGCGTTTCGCTGAGTCCGTTTTGGCCCGCGTTTCTATGTCACAGACGCGACTCTACGATTTCACTCGAGACCATTCCGCGATTCCAATTTCGATTTTCACCAATACCCTCTATCAACCCTTTCTTTTTTTTCGTCCAACCCTCGAAGCAATCGTTCGAGAAGAGAACTTAAAGGCGGTATAATAAATACGGTTAAACGTAACACTCGAACGGAAGATGTTGTAAATGGCTGCTGAATCGTCCTCTCGCAGCACAAAGAGTTTCCCCCATCGACAACTAATGCTCACTTTCCTCGCCCCCTTTCAAACGCGATCATCGGAAGAAGGTACATACCGCTAACCGTCGTAGAAATCGGATTTAAGAAGGTCGTTCCTCCGAAGAGGGGAAAGAAGTTTCTCATCGGCGACGTGCGTGCCCCGTTAATCCGAATCTCCGATTCGCCGTGCAGAAATTGCACGCGCGGCAATAACGATAAACATCAGCGGGGATATTCCGGCTGGCGAATTGCACCGCTACACCGTCAGGGTTGAAACAAGAGAGAGAGAGAGAGAGAGAGAGAGGGAAAACGGTCGGTTCGACGATATTTTCCAGTTGCACACGGCAGAGGAGAGAGGACAGCATTACTTACGTTCCACTTGCCGCGGCACAGATTCGAGACGATGTAAACGGGAAACAGGGAATTGCAGGAAGGAGAGATGAGGAAACGGACGACGTGGAGGCTACTCCTCTCTCCTTCTTCCAATTCCTTTTTCCCCCATTTCCCTGCACCTTTCTCGGCCGCACTTTGTCTCCGTAAGCCACATTCGGGTCACCGGCGCAACGGGGGTACGCTTTAACGATCTGCATTGCATGAGCACTTCGCTTCCCTCCCCCTCCAATTTCGCGTTCTGTTCGTTTCTCCGGTGGAAACTCTCTTCCCTTCTTCTTCTACCGTGTCCTTGGTGCTACCGTCTAAATAGGTGCGCTCTCTCCCGCAGGGCGTCGTCACAGTTTCGGCTTGTACACGATGCCTGACAAACAAGCCCCGGTTATTTCGTATGGCAAACAAGCGGTTGCCGAATCCCTTTCCATCGCCTGCTTCCGGCTAGGAGCGCGCGTTCATTCCGTGGAAATCCGATTATCCGACTGGCTAGGGTAAACCTGCACACTTGCTCTCGAGAAAGTAACGGAGAATTTTCTGGCTAACAGCTTCGAG